CACAGCCACCACCTGGCCCAGGGATGCCACACAGCACCCCACAGCCACCTCCTGGCCCAGGGACGCCACACAACACCGCACAGCCACCACCTGGCCCAGGGATGTCACACAGCACCCCACAGCCACCACCTGGACCAGGGACGCCACACAGCACCCCACAGCCGCCACCTGGCCCAGGGATGCCACACATCACCCCACAGATGCCACCTGGCCCAGGGACCCCCCACAGCCACCCCAAACAGCACTGCACAGCCGCCACCTGGCCCAGGGACGCCACACGGCACCGCACAGCCACCACCTGGCCCAGGGACCCTGCGGCTGGGGTCCACCTGGGAAACAGTGACCGTGGTCACACAGACGCCTGTGCAGGGATGCTTGTGGGTAACACCCCCCATGGGCACCGAGGAAGGAGAACTGTCCAGACCCCAGGCACAACTAGTGCCTGAAGAACATCTTATAGTGCTACTGCTTAGCTGTTTCCTTTATATAATCCTTCACATATAATCATATGTTAGTTTATAGAACTAGTGCTTGAAGTGTAGCTGCTTACATATATCCAGCATACTTCGTTCTATTTAATCACATAGGTACTGTAGTCGGAGCTGTACTGACACATTCAGTGCTGATTTATGGAATCCTTCCATAGAACCACATAGTAGTCTGTAGTAGGAGGAATGCCTAGAGCAGTCAGAACAGAAGCAGCACAAGGGAAAACGGCCAGACCAGGACGAGAACCAAAGACCCCGGCGGTGGCGTCCCTGCCTGAAAGGGCAAACGCCATATGGCAGGCTTGGTGCAGGAGCCTCTCCTCCTGATAAAGGAGCTGTAGCACCTTGCATCCAGTTCCTGTGGAAAGTCGGCCTCAGGCCTGAGATCCTGGAAGTAACCGAGGGAGAAGAACCCCTCTGGTGTGACCAGTCATGGTGGCTGTGCACCCTGTCAGTCTTTTCTCGCTTCTGTGCTGGCTCAAATCATCCTCCCATAAATATCTTAGAGAAGAGCACACGTCTGTCAGCTCCCACTGCACTGGCTTACAGATTCCTTCTATTAGAAACCCTTTGACGTCTCCAGCCCCCAGGTAAGAAGGAAGTGTTGTGTGGGACACCTGCTGCACACAGCCCACCTCCTTGCCTCAGTGACCTAATGGGGTGGACCCCTTTTCTGTACATGACCCTCTACTACTGCGCACGGCACGGCCCCCTACTGTGCACAGCCCACCTCTCTGCCCAGGTGACATAATGGGGTGGCCCCTTGCTTGTGACTCACGTGATTTACATATGCCTCATCACTAAGCCTAGAGATGATGACCTCACTCAGGACCCTGCCCCCTGCTTGTACCTAATAATTACAGATGCTCTGGGGCATTTGGGAGCCGCCACTGATCTCTGCTCACAGGTGGTGTGGCCCCCCAAGTCCAGCTCCTCTTCACCAGTTCTTCAGTGTCCTGTCTCTTTACCTCTTGGATCCTGCACCCCAACACAGCATAAGGGACACCCCACGACCCTGTGGGGACTCCACAGCCCTACAATGCTGACAGCGGCTCTGCCCGAGACAGCCTCCCCTTGGTGCACGGACACCTCCACGCACATGTGGGATGCCACTGAGCAGCGAGGGAGCAGGCAACCTGGATGAACCTCAGAGGCACCGTGCAGGGTGGAGGAGGCTGCCCCCAGTGACGCCATGCGTAGGATGTTATCCCTCACCAGCCGCTGGGGTCAGGGGCGGGTGCCACGACCAAGGGGCAACACAAAGAAGTTTTGGGGCCGGTGGAATTGTCCTGTGTCCTAACTGTGTTTCTATACGTCTACGCAAGTGTTGACACTCACAGAGTGCACATCTACGCCGGCAAAGGCAATTCTGCCACGATGATGAATCATCTGGCCACGCACTGACGGACTGTGAGACTGGGAACAGCAAAGTCCTTTGTGAACTGAAGACAGACACCAAAAGTGTGTTTAAACTGAGGTAAGTGGAACAGAGTATCAGCAGAGGAAGCATCAGCGGCAGACGCACAGCCTGACCCAGGATTACGAAGGAGCCACCTCTCCCGCCTGCCCTGCCATCTTGCGGAATGTGGCCAGAGGGGGAAGAGGCACACACAGCCACCACTGGTCAACCACACAACACAGGAACAAAAACTCAGTCCCTCTTGGCGCTGGGATCCCCTGGGAGGCCCAGGCGTGCCCCAGCCAGGCACGCACTGGCCTGCATGGGGGGCCTGACTGGCTGCTCCTGATTTCATGCCTGGTGCCCACCCGCACTTGAACACAACAGCTGCAGGCAAAGCCACCCTGGCGGCCGCACCGCGGGCCCTGCCCTCGTCTGCACCCACGTGGGTGTGGCCCTGCTGAGCGGCTGCAGTCAGCCCCCCCACAGCAGATGCTCCTGGAGGCCCCAGGCAGCTTGGCCTGCTTTCTGGGGGTCTAGCTCTCCTTCCTCCCACCACTCGAGGGCTGCGTGTGCCAGGCCGCCTGCACCCTGCCTGGGGTCCCGCTGTCACCCAGGTTCCCATCGGCTTACCTGGAAGAGGATGAAGATGAGAAACAGCTCGTAGACCACACTCACGCAGAGCCAAAACCTCCAGTAAGCTACAAAGACAGATGACAGAGCGTTAATGCGTCCGGCCCGGGACTCCCTGGCCCTGCTCCGCCCAGGCTGGCTCCTGGCTCCTTGACACCCAGTGTCTCTTAGGGCCCTCACAGGTCCCTGGGAGAGACCTGATAAAGCAAGCCGTAGCTGAGAATTAAGCAGAATTTCTGAGACGTGGAAGTCTTTTCTTCATTTTTTCCATTCCAGTCCTTAAATCTTTTGCCCATAAACTGTGGCACAGAGCACTCAGCAAACATCCCTGTGGTATGTTTACTATGACACTTATAACCGTGCACCACTAAGTATGCAGTAGGTTTTTGGTGGATACTTTTTTTTTTGAGATGGAGTCTCTGTCATCCAGGCTGGAGTGCAATGGGGCAATCTTGGCTCATTGCAACCCTCACCTCCTGGGTTCAAGCGATTCTCCTGCCTCAGCCTCCCGAGTAGCTGGGACTACAGGTGCGCGTCACCATGCCCAGCTAATTTTTTTTGTATTTTTAGTAGAGACCGGGTTTCATCATCTTGGCCAGGCTGGTCTTGAACCCGACCTCGTGATCCGCCCGCCGTGGACTCCCAAAGTGCTGGGATTACAGGTGTGAGCTACCGTGTCTGGCCTTTTCATTTTTACTTTTTTGTAGAGATGGGGTTTCGTCATGTTGCCCAGGCTGGGATACTTTTTATCACGTTAAAAAAATCTTTCTCCTGAGATGTTTAATAGAAAAAAAAAAAAAAATCTTTCAATCCGAGTCATGGCACTAGAAAAAAGAAAAAAATTTGTTTAATTCCAATATGTTAAGTTTTTGTCATGGATGAATATGAATTTTTGCTTTTCTGCATTTAAGGGGATCATTTTTTCATGTTAATGTGATGAATTACATTAATAGACTTGTAGTGTTAAACCATCCCATAATTCCTGCTTCGCCATGGCTCTGAGCAGCTCATGGCAAGACATGCAGATGTGAGGTTTCAGGAGCAAATGCAGCCCCACCGGAAGCCAAGGACGGTCGCTATGGTTCACGGAAAGCCGTTTTGCATCTACAGGAGATACAAATGCTGGAAAGTTCTTAGGAAAATCTGTTAAAGGAGGTCTGGGGCCCAATACACACAAGTGAGATCGCAAACTTATTCCTCATGCCTTGGAGGATGAGAAGAATCTGGAAAATTCCCACTGGCTCAAGAGTTGCAGTTAAAGGGGTTTGTGGGCCGGGCGCAGTGGCTCACGCCTGTAATCTGGCACTTTGGAGGCTGAGGTGGGTGGATTACCAGGTCAGGAGTTCAAGACCAGCCTGGCCAAGTTGGTGAAACCCCATCTCTATAAAAAAAAAGGAGGGGGAGCTTGTGGTGAAATTAACTCGGGGCAGCCCTTGCCCCATAAGGACTGGCTGACTGAAGGTGACACCTTCGGAGCAGGTGCTCGGCCTGCAAGCTCTCTCTGAGAGGACAGCCACACCCATGATCACTGACTGAAGGTGACACCTTTAGAGCGGGTGCTCGGCCTGCAAGCTCTCTCTCAGAGGACAGCCACCCCCATGATCACTGACTGAAGGTGACACCTT